TTAGCCCAACTGTAGCTATTGAGCATATAACCAAGAGTGGTGGTGGTGGGGAGAGAGAGAGAGAGAGAGAGAGAGAGAGAGAGAGAGAGAGAGAGAGAGAGAGAGAGAGAGAGAGAGAGAGAGAGAGAGAGAGAGAGAGAGAGAGAGAGAGAGAGAGAGAGAGAGAGAGAGAGAGAGAGAGAGAGAGAGAGAGAGAGACTGAGACTGAGAGACTTATAAGCCAAGAATGTCATCCAGGAAGAAGAGAAGAAGATGGACGGAAGGGGGCGTTGAAGTATCGAAGGTATGTGTAAGGGGAGTGAAAGTGAGGGAAGGGGAACAAAAATAAAATGGAAATGAAGAAAGAGGAAGAGGGGAGAAAGATGGAGCAATGGGAGCGTCAATGTTGGTGTCCCCATCCCACAGTTGGCGTCCCCATCCTACCGTTGGCGTCCCCATTCCACCGGTGCCGTCCCTATTCCACCGTTGGCGTCCCCATCCTACCGTTGGCGTCCCCATTCCACCGTTGCCGTCCCTATTCCACCGTTGGCGTCCCCATCCTACCGTTGGCGTCCCCATTCCACCGTTGCCGTCCCTATTCCACCGTTGGCGTCCCCATCCCACTGTTGGCGAGGCGTCTTAATGGAGGCCTCGCCAGCATTAAGACCTCCAGGGAGCACTAAATTAATGAAGCATTCTGCACAATATATCTTCTCTGTCCCAGCTCTGAGTGTGGTTTTAGGGATGGCTTTGATATGCTTATGTTTTGTATGTTACCTGGTTGATGGGGTTCTGGGAGTTCTTCTACTAAAAGCCCGGCCCGAGGCCAGGCTTGACTTGTGAGAGTTTGGTCCACCAGGCTGTTGCTTGGAGCGGCCCGCAGGTCGACATACCCACCACAGCCCGGCTGATCCGGAACTTCTCTTAGAAAATAGTCCAGTTTTCTCTTGAAGATGTCCACGGTTGTTCCGGCAATATTTCTTATGCTCACTGGGAGGACGTTGAACAACCGTGGACCTCTGATGTTTATAGGGTTCTCTGATTGTGCCTATGGCACCTCTGCTCTTCACTGGTTCTATTCTGCATTTTCTTCCATATCGTTCACTCCAGTATGTTTTTTACTGTGCAAATTTGGGACCTGGCCCTCCAGTATTTTCCATGTGTATATTATTTGGTATCTCTCTCGTCTCTTTTTCTAGTGAGTACATTTGGAGAGCTTTGAGACGATCCCAATAATTTAGGTGCTTTATCGCGTCTATGCGTGCCGTATATGTTCTCTGTATTCCCTCTATTTCAGCAGTCTCTCCCGCTCTGAAGGATTAAAGTGAGTACTGAGCAGTACTAGAGACGGGACAACACAAGTGATTTGAAGAGTACAACCGTTGTGATGGGATCTCTGGATTGGAAGGTTTTCGTAATCCATCCTATAAGTTTTCTGGCTGACGCAATACTTGCTTGGTAATGCTCCCTAAACGTTAGGTCGTCAGACATCATTATTCCCAAATTCCTTGACATGCTGTTTTCCTACTATGGGCAGATTCGATTGTGTTTTGTACCCTGTATTATGTTTCAGCTCCTCATTTTTCCCCTATTTCCCTATCATATCTAGTTTTAAAATTATGAATAGAGTTTGCTTCCACAACCTGTTCCTTAAGTGCATTCCATTTTTCCACTACTCTCACGCTAAAAGAAAGCTTCTAGCATCTCTATGACTCATCTGAGTGTCCAGCTTTCACCCATGTTCTCTTGTTCTGTTAATATTTCCTGTGAACATTTCGTCTATTTCCACTCTGTCAATCTCCCTGAGTATTTTATATGTTTCTATCATATCTCCATGCTCCCTTCTTTTTATTTTAGTGTCGTCAGATTCTCTTTCTTCAGTGTGTGTCCGTGTCCGTGTCCGTGTCCGTGTCCGTGTACGTGTCCGTGTACGTGTACGTACTCGCCAAGATGTGTTCTCAGGGTCGAGTGTCAGCTCTTAAGTCCCAGTCTGTCGACAGTCAGTGATTTAGTGTAATAACTGTTCATTCTTTTTCCTCCTAAGATATTTACGTATACAATTATGTAACTTATTTACGTTCAGAATTCTTTAACACATTTACATTTAAAATTGTGTACCGAGTTAGCATCGACAACTTCTTTACATCTGTTCCAGGTATTTCCAACGCTTGCGGTGAGGAAATTCTTGCTGACGTTACTGTGGTTTATTTCTTGAATGTTCGTATCATATTTGTCTTCCTTCCTTCCTTCCTTCCTTCCTGCCTTCCTTCCTTCCTTCCTGCCTTCCTTCCTGCCTTCCTTCCTTCCTTCCTGCCTTCCTTCCTGCCTTCCTGCCTTCCTTCCTTCCTTTCCTTCCTTTCCTTCCTTTCCTTCCTTTCCTTCCTTCCTCCCTTCCTTCCTTCCTTCATTCCTTTCCTTCCTTTCCTTCCTCCCTTCCTTCCTTCATTCCTTTCCTTCCTCCCTTCCTCCCTTCCTTCCTTCATTCCTTTCCTTCCTTTCCTTCCTTCATTCCTTCCCTTCCTTCATTCCTTTCCTTCCTTATCTTCCTCCCTTCCTTCCTTCATTCCTTTCCTTCCTTATCTTCCTCCCTTCCTTCCTTCATTCCTTTCATTCCTTTCCTTCCTTTCCTTCCTCCCTTCCTTCCTTCATTCCTTTCCTTCCTTCCTTTCCTTCCTTCCTTTCCTTCCTTCATTCCTTTCCTTCCTTTCCTTCCTTCCTTTCCTTCCTTCCTTTCCTTCCTTCCTTTCCTTCCTTCCTTCCTTCCTGCCTTCCTTCCTTCCTGCCTTCCTTCCTTCCTGCCTGCCTTCCTTCCTTCCTTCCTTCCTTCCTTCCTTCCTTCCTTCCTTCCTCCGGTGTGCTAGGCCTAGTTCCTTCATTGCTGTTTCCCTTAATTTTGAAACGAGCCATTTTGCATATTTTTTGGATCTTTCCTGTTGTGTTATTTTGAGCTGCAAACTTAAGAACGGATCTCTTGTATATAACATTCGAAAGGTTCTTGTGTCCATGCTAAGGAGCCGGTCGGCCGAGCGGACAGCACGCTGGACTTGTGATCCTGTGGTCCTGGGTTCGATCCCAGGCGCCGGCGAGAAACAATGGGCAGAGTTTTTCACCCTATGCCCCTGTTACCTAGCAGTAAAATAGGTACCTGGGTGTTAGTCAGCTGTCACGGGCTGCTTCCTGGGGGTGGAGGCCTGGTCGAGGACCGGGCCGCGGGACACTAAAGCCCCGAAATCATCTCAAGATAACCTCAAGAATCTCAAGATAACCAATCAGCACTCAGAGTGAGAAAGCACAAGTGATTTGAAAGTAAGAACAGTGTGATGAAATCTTGGATCTGTAGGTTCTCACAATCCCCTTAAATAATGGTTTGGAAATATAATAGTAGTAGTAGTAGTAGTAGTAGTAGTAGTAGGCATCCTGCAATATAATAATAGGACGCGAAACTACGAATAAAAATCGAAGCATTTGATTTAAAAAAAAAACGACCTGGGTAAATACTGGTTTTGAAACAGGGTTGTTGATTTACGTAACAAATTACCGGGATAATAGACGTGGGATTGCTGGATTGTTTCAAGCGCACGCACCTTACCACCGGACCACGACATGGTATAAATTATACGACCAGGGATTCCACGGAATACTGGTTTACGGGCTCACCATAGCCCGTGCTACATGGACATTTCGTTCTGAGTAGCTAAATCTGAAACAACAACAACGAGATTCCACGAGCTCCACAGGACGTCTGGAGTCTGGACGTCTACTCAATGTTGTTTTAGCTTCAGCTACACCAAGTGAAGGTCCATGAGTAAGGTGCGTGGTGTGGGAGTGCTAAGGTCGAGAGTTGGAATCCTCTGCATTGCCAAATCCAATCCAATTGGATTTCTCACTGTTGAGACTCGTATTGTCTGTTACCCCGTTGGAAGACTTTATTGATAACTATTTGTAGTTATAGAATAACTGATACACATGTAATTTTCAGGCGGATTTTGGTATCTTTTAAAAAAGATTGACACAAAACTATAATTTGTCTAGTTTGGTCACAAGTTGTTTTTGTGTGTGGAACCGAGTGACATTTGTCAGTGTCACTTCATTGTCAGGAAAGGTTCCTGACACTGAAGGAAGATGTAGGCCACTCAGCCACCTACTCAAGATGTAGGCCACTCAGCCACCTACTCAAGATGTAGGCAGTATAAACAGATTAGGGTGGGATAATGTGGTTGCCACGTAATCCTAAATTAGTGGTGGCTGGCGGACTGGGTATGAATCTCGAGTGACGCATTATGATCTTCTCGTGTTTTAACTGTGTAACTATCATAACCTTGGCCCTCATGGTGTGTGCCTGGGGGTCGCCGGGTCTCACTTTGCTGCTTGTGTTGTGTTGTTATAGCTCTCTTGTGGTGTTGTTATAGCTCTCTTGTGGTGTTGTTATAGCTCTCTTGTGGTGTTGTTATAGCTCTCTTGTGGTGCTGTCAGTGCTCTCTTGTGGTGCTGTCAGTGCTCTCTTGTGGTGTTGTTATAGCTCTCTTGTGGTGTTGTTATAGCTCTCTTGTGGTGCTGTCAGTGCTCTCTTGTGGTGCTGTCAGTGCTCTCTTCTTGTTGTGCTGTCAATGCTCTCTTCTTGTTGTGCTGTCAATGCTCTCTCTTGTTGTGCTGTCAATGCTCTCTTGTTGTTGTGCTGTCAATGCTCTCTTGTCGTTCTGCTGTCAATGCTCTCTTGTTGTGGTGCTGTCAGTGCTCTCTTGTGGTGCTGTCAGTGCTCTCTTCTTGTTGTGCTGTCAATGCTCTCTTGTCGTTCTGCTGTCAATGCTCTCTTGTTGTTGTGCTGTCAATGCTCTCTTGTTACAGTGTGGCATCCTTATCTGACCGTATTGTGGTGCTGTGCTCTGCCATATCTGACCTGTTCCAGGGTGTTACATCCTTATTTAACCCTTCAGGCGATCAGCCCCCATTATCTGACACTGTTAGGAGGTTGCGCCCTTAGCTGACCTTAAGTAATATATATCTGTTGCAGTTTCAGTTACATTTGCATTTTGTGACTGCCACAGATTCCGAGCCTTGTGTCTGGTGCTGCTGTAAGCCCTTGTAATCCTCCGCTTTGTCGAGCTTCCCTTGCTGCCGTGTAAGTTCCCTCCAAATCATTGTCGCCTCTCTACTATGCTCTGCGCCTTCTGGTCATTATACTCTAGGGTTTTGACATTGCATTTTACTAATCACACTTTCTTAGGTCATTATTAACGTCTTTCTAAACGGTTCATGTATTTGCGGCGTGTGAGGTCATCACCAAACACAGTCTGATACTCCTTTGATCGGTCCGTGCTCCCAAACTTTAACAAGATCAGCTGTGGTTGTCGCAGTTCCTGCTCCTGCTGCGCTTGTTTACATGGTGGCCCTCTTGCCTCCTTGGAAGGTGGCCCTCTTGCCTCCTTGGAAGGTGGCCCTCTTGCCTCCTTGGAAGGTGGCCCTCTTGCCTCCTTGGAAGGTGGCCCTCTTGCCTCCTTGGAAGGTGGCCCTCTTGCCTCCTTGGAAGGTGGCCCTCTTGCCTCCTTGGAAGGTGGCCCCCTTGGAAGGTGGCCCTCTTGCCCCCTTGGAAGGTGTCCCCCTTGCCTCCTAGGAAAGTGGGCCTCTTGCCCCCTTGGAAGGTGGCCCCGCCCCTTGCCCCCTTGGAAGGTGGCCGCCCCTTGCCTCCTAGGAAGGTGGCCCCCTTGCCTCCTAGGAAGGTGGCCCCCTTGGAAGGTGGCCCTCTTGCCCCCTTGGAAGGTGTCCCCCTTGCCTCCTAGGAAGGTGGCCCCCTTGCCTCCTAGGAAGGTGGCCCCCTTGCCTCCTAGGAAGGTGGCCCCCTTGGAAGGTGGCCCCCTTGCCCCCTTGGAAGGTGGCCGCCCCTTGCCTCCTAGGAAGGTGGCCCCCTTGCCTCCTAGGAAGGTGGCTTGGAAGGTCCCTTGCCCCCTAGGAAGGTGGCTCCCTTGGCCCCCCCCCTTGGAAGGTGGCCGCCCCTTGCCTCCTAGGAAGGTGGCCTCCTTGGAAGGTGGCCCTCTTGCCCCCTTGGAAGGTGGCCCTGGCCGCCGCGCGTGGCCCCAAGTGGCCCAGGCCGTGGCTCCAGTCTCGACACCGGAGACCTCTCAAGTCTTGGTGTCTGGGCATTTCAATAATATTTTATATATTTTTGTTAGTTAAGTTCTCGATCTCGTCGGCGTTGACTGAGGCTGTCGTTGATTAAGACTTGTCGTTTAAGGGGTGTCGTTGAGGAAGGTTGTCGTTGTATAAGGCTGACGGTTAGAGAAGGTGTCATTGTGGTGGTGTCAGTCGCCGGCAGGTGGAGGTGGTGTCAGTCGCCGGCAGGTGGAGGTGGTGTCAGACGCCGGCAGGTGGTGGTGGTGTCATTCGCCGGCAGGTGGTGGTGGTGTCAGTCGCCGGCAGGTGGTGGTGGTGTCAGACGCCGGCAGGTGGTGGTGGTGTCAGTCGCCAGCAGGTGGTGGTGGTGTCAGTCGCCGGCAGGTGGTGGTGGTGTCAGTCGCCGGCAGGTGGTGGTGTCAGACGCCGGCAGGTGGAGGTGGTGTCAGACGCTGGCAGGTGGTGGTGTCAGTTGCCGGCAGGTGGTGGTGGTGTCAGTCGCCGGCAGGTGGAGGTGGTGTCAGACGCTGGCAGGTGGTGGTGTCAGTTGCCGGCAGGTGGTGGTGTCAGACGCCGGCAGGTGGAGATGGTGTCAGTCGCCGGCAGGTGGTGGTGTCAGACGCCGGCAGGTGGTGGTGGTGTCAGTCGCCGGCAGGTGGTGGTGTCAGACGCCGGCAGGTGGAGGTGGTGTCAGACGCTGGCAGGTGGTGGTGTCAGTTGCCGGCAGGTGGTGGTGTCAGACGCCGGCAGGTGGAGGTGGTGTCAGTCGCCGGCAGGTGGTGGTGTCAGACGCCGGCAGGTGGGTGGTGGTGTCAGTCGCCGGCAGGTGGTGGTGTCAGACGCCGGCAGGTGGTGGTGTCAGACGCCGGCAGGTGGTGGTGTCAGTCGCCGGCAGGTGGTGGTGTCAGTCACTGGCAGGTGGAGGTGGTGTCAGACGCCGGCAGGTGGTGGTGTCAGTCACTGGCAGGTGGAGGTGGTGTCAGTCGCCGGCAGGTGGTGGTGGTGTCAGTCACTGGCAGGTGGTGGTGGTGTCAGTCGCCGGCAGGTGGTGGTGGTGTCAGTCGCCGGCAGGTGGTGGTGGTGTCAGTCACTGGCAGGTGGAGGTGGTGTCAGTCGCCGGCAGGTGGTGGTGGTGTCAGTCACTGGCAGGTGGTGGTGGTGTCAGTCACTGGCAGGTGGAGGTGGTGTCAGTCGCCGGCAGGTGGTGGTGGTGTCAGTCACTGGCAGGTGGTGGTGGTGTCAGTCGCCGGCAGGTGGTGGTGTCAGTCGCCGGCAGGTGGTGGTGTCAGACGCCGGCAGGTGGTGGTGTCAGTCGCCGGCAGGTGGTGGTGTCAGTCGCCGGCAGGTGGAGGTGGTGTCAGTCGCCGGCAGGTGGTGGTGGTGTCAGTCACTGGCAGGTGGTGGTGGTGTCAGACGCCGGCAGGTGGTGGTGTCAGTCACTGGCAGGTGGAGGTGGTGTCAGTCGCCGGCAGGTGGTGGTGGTGTCAGTCACTGGCAGGTGGTGGTGGTGTCAGTCGCCGGCAGGTGGTGGTGGTGTCAGTCACTGGCAGGTGGAGGTGGTGTCAGTCGCCGGCAGGTGGTGGTGGTGTCAGTCACTGGCAGGTGGTGGTGGTGTCAGTCACTGGCAGGTGGAGGTGGTGTCAGTCGCCGGCAGGTGGTGGTGGTGGTGGTGTCAGTCACTGGCAGGTGGTGGTGGTGTCAGACGCCGGCAGGTGGTGGTGGTGTCAGACGCCGGCAGGTGGTGGTGTCAGTCACTGGCAGGTGGTGGTGGTGTCAGCATCAGCTTGGAACAATGGTCACGTCCCGAGTCCCAGTAATATCACACACAGCTCTTCATCACCCAATAACTCGTTCAACTGACGCCCAAACCTTGTGGAATTGTTAATAGACGTCAGAGTTGATGGATGGACTCCACAACTTTGGCGGGAAGCGAGTGCTGTAGGCGGTGGGCTGCTGTATTGTGTGTGTGTAAATACACACACACACACACACACCCGGAACTGAGAGGTATGAGCTACAAGGAAAGGCTAAAGGATCTGAACCTCACGTCCCTGGAAGACAGAAGAGTAAGGGGAGACATGATATCCACCTACAATATTCTCAGGGGAATTGACAGAGTGGACAAAGACAAACTCTTCAGCACGGGTGGGACACGAACAAGGGGACACAGGTGAAAACTAAGTACCCAAGTGAGCCACAGAGACGTTAGAAGGAATTTTGTCAGTGTCAAAGTAGTTAACAAATGGTATCCATTAGTCAGTGATGTGGTGGCGGCTGACTCCATACACAGTTTCAAATGTAGATATGATAAGAGCCCAACAGGCTCAGAAATCTGTACAACAACAGTTGATGGTTGATAGGCGAACCAAAGAGCCAAAGCTCAACCCTAGGTATCACAATTAGGTGAATGCTAATAGGGGGGACTAGAAGGCAGGTAGTCTGGTATCTCACCTGTGTCGGTAATCCCTAGGAAAATTTACATTGAAAATATAATTATACTCTTAAAAAACAAGAAGCCGGGTCAGCTTTTCCATCTCCACAATATTATATGTCTAGACACAGAAATCACAATATCGTGATGCATCAAATGAACAAATCCACAAGGGCCGTGACGAAGGCTCGAACCTGCGTCCGAGAGCATCCCAGACGCTGCCTTAATCGACTGCGTTACGACATGGGAAAAGAATTGCAACCAGAAATTCTACTGTCCTTACTTGAACCCTGCAGCCTCTCTGAGACACAAACCAGGATTTTACACAAATTTCCCCCATGCACTCGAGCTCTGGCAATAGGCCGTTCAACCTCTTCGCCCTTACTTCATTACACTTTTCTTTTGGAAAACATTACACGACATTCTTTTCCATGTCGTAGCGCAGTCGATTAAGGCAGCGTCTGTGATGCTCTCGGACGTAGGTTCGAATCCTCATCACGGCCCTTGTGGATTTGTTTATATATCTAGATTTCTTGTTAATTTCCTCACCAGAGTTGATAATTGAAACATTAACTGGACAAGATGAGGACATTTCAAGGCAGTCTCCTCGCGGTGTCCTAACTGTCGGACATTGGGAAGGAAAAGATGGCTTAAGCCCACCATCCCTTAGGGCAGAAGTCGTCGCTTCCACCTGCCCCATGTAGGTCTTCCGGAGACATTAGCCACTAGCGTCTCTTCTAATGAAATTGGCGCGGCCTGAGCACCAGTGTTGTTGGTGGCCAGTTACTCTCGCCTCCAGTAACAATTACCTTGTGTAACCGGTCGTTGGAAAGCAATTAAAGCAGCCGATGGTTGTTTACTGGTTGTGTTCCTCTTGGCTCATTATCTTGTTATGCGCTCCGAGCTCTCTGGGCGGGGCCTGACTGTGGCTTTGTTGAGTGTGCGTTTGTAAGAGTTAAGTGCCTTGCGTGTGAGTGCTAGTGCCTTGTTTGTGAGTGCTAGTGCCTTGTTTGTGAGTGCTAGTGCCTTGCGTGTGAGTGATGAATATGCGTGTATGTGCGCGTGCTTGTATTAAAATGCATGTGCTCAAAGGGTCAAGGTTCAGCAGCGCGTCCTTGAGAAAGAGTGGAGGGAGAGAGAGAAAGAGGGAGAGATATGTAAAGAAAGCCGTTATGATCGAGGAAAGATGTACAGGTTTCGCATGTGGGACAGTGGTGACTGGCATAGGCGTAGTGTCCTCAGCATCCATCTTTATTTAAAGTGTATTTGCCTGGACATCCACGCTGCTTGTCCAAGTGTAATACACTCTGTTGGGCTTATTCTTGCCCCTCTCTCTTTCTCTCTCCTCTCTCTCTGAGGCGCTACTGGAGGGAGGTGCTACCGGAGGGAGGTTGGGACGCACTGCTCCCAAACCTCCACTCTCCGCCCTCCATCCCTGCACACACACACACTTCCCCTCCCTCAGCGCGCCGTGTCCTGGATAAATGATCTCACACTAGCGAGCCCCGACACGTGGTTGTGTTATTTGCATGGTATTACAGCGACACCTGGCCGGGAATAATTTCCCTCCCACTCTATTGGCGCCGCCTGGCATTATTTC